ACAGCTGAGCATTAATGAGCAGTTGCAAGATTAAATTCAATATGTGAAGATGAAGAGACTGGAGGATGAGGAAATTGGGCGAGTTAAGAGGGATGGGTTTTTAATTATAGAAATCTTACTGCAAATATTTTTTCCCTCAGATTTGGGTCTTCAAAATGCCTTCCCCTCTGTCCAAATTAGTGACCTTCACATTTTGTGTGAGAATAGAGCTAGTTGCTGTAAAGTGCCTTTGAGGAAAATCTGAGGCCTGAATCCTAATCTAATACCGAGTTCAGAAGGATTGCATCTCAGCGTCTCTTAGCATTCTCAGAGGACAAGGTGTCAAAGTACCAAGGACCTGGCTTGGAATAGAACAGTGGTGTAGAACCTTTCTCCCTATGAATCTACTGTTTAGCAAGTAGTTCATTACAAATAAAGAATGGGAATATTTGAGTAGGAGTTCCAAAACATGATTCAAGACAGCTGTCGGTGTATACACCTTACAGATGCCTCAGTGCTAGAAGGACAGGACTGAAGATGAAAACTATTTGGATCCTCTTTCTTTAAATCTATGTTTCTGTTAAGACAGTAAAGGGGAGAGAACCTCTGAGCTTATTTACCCAGTTAACCACAGTGTAAATACCTTGCCTTGGAGAATAATTGACTAAGAATGGACCTGTCTGCTGATTGGCTCTGATTTTCATATATTGAGTTATTGTTGTAATATACTGTAGATGACTAGTCAAGGAGTGTGGAAACACAGGTGAAAGGCCAGCTTTACGTTCCTTTCTAGCTATAATCCACTGTTTCTACATTTCCATTTTTAGGGATTCAGACAAATATGTTAGTACAAGTGGGGAAAAAAAATATATATGTACAAACACATGCACCAAAGCACTATTTGTAATGGTGGAAAACTGGAAACAGTCCAAATATCCATTAAAAAGAATGTGGGTGAGTTAATTCTATTTCTAATGAGAGAGGACTGCCAGTGTTACCAAAGGCTTCTGTGTTGCTAAATGGAGATGTTTGTTAGCCTTTGTCTTCCATGAACTCTCACTTCTTTTTTCTCACGTTTTTTCTTCTCTTGGCTTTTCTGGCAGTCTCTTGGTTTTCCTCCTACCTCTCTGACTGTTCTTGTCATTCTCTCTATCACCTCTGACTGCTAAATGTTAGAGTCTCCAGGACCAAGTTCTGGGTCTCTCTACACCTTCTTCAGGGATGATACCCTATACCCCCCTGGCTGTAATACCATCTAGGGGCTGACAAAGATGTAATACCATCTAGGGGCTAAAAAATGTATATTATCAGCTCAGACCTCTCATCTAAGTGCTAGACACATGGATCTAATCCCTGACACCACCCAAATGGGTGCTTTAGTTAACATGGCTAACATTAACTTCTTGAACTTCCCCATTCCCAAGTTTGCTCCTCCTTCAGAATTCCCCATCCAGTAAACAGTACTTCCATTGACTCCGCTGCTAGAAACCCGGGAACCATTCTTGACTTGTTCTTATCCCTCCCTTCATTAACAAGCCTATTGGTTCTATTTCTGAAATATATCTCAAATCTATTCACTTTTCTTTATCTCCCATGCCACCGCACTGGGCCAAGCCAGCATTGCCTCTCACTAATGCCACCTCCATTCTCAGCCCCTGCCAGTTCAATTCTCCACAACAGCACCCAGAGCACTTTTTAAAAACAGGAATTGAATCAGTGACCATTCATCAGACCTACAATTAAATTCAAAATTGAGGTTAGCATGACGTACAAAGCCCCTGCCTCCCAGCATCATCTCCTGCTCTTTCCCTTTCTCAGTGTACTTCAGCACTACCAGAGTTCTTTGTGTACCTTATACACATGAGACAATTTCTTGCTTTGGGACCTTTGCATGTGTTATTTTTCTGTACCTGGAATGCTTTTATTGCCTCATTTTGCCTGGATAACTCCTACTGGTCAAACTTCAGATCTCAGACTTTCCTTTACACACACCCCACCCACTGCTTTCTTAATTGGGTCCTTTGTTAGGTTGCTTAATAATACTCTGTTCTTTTTCTTCAAAATATTTATCAATACGTATTTGTATGTATGTATATATATATGTTTGCATATATGTGTGTATTCTTATGCGTTTACTGCCTAAATGTAAACGGTCTAAGAACACGAATTATCTCTTTTGGTTATTTCTTTCACTACTTTGTTTCTAGTACTTGGACCGTATTTTTCAATGAAAACTTCAGCTGTTCTAAAATGGAAATAGTGAGATGCAGAATAGTATGTATAATATTCTTCCATGTTTGTTACTTTGAAAAATGTGTATGTTTTGGATGTTAATCCCTTATCACATATATGATTTGCAAATATTGTTTCCATTCCATGGTTGCCTGTTCACTCTGTTGATAGTGTCCTTGATACACAGACTTTGTTGACATCCAATTTATTTGTTTTTTGTCATTATTGCCTGTGCTTTGTTGTCATTCCAAGAAATCATGGCCAAGTGCAAAGTCATGAAGCTTCACTCCTGGTTTCTTCTAAGAATTTTATAATTTTAGCTCTTACACTTCATCTTTAATCCGTTTTGACTTAAGTTTTATATATGGTATAAGGTAAGGGTCCAGTTTCATTTTTTTTGCATGTGGATATCCAGTTTTCCCAACATCACTTATTGAAAAAACTGTTCTTTACCCATTAGATGGTGCTGACCCCCTTATCCTTTGACTATATATGTTAGGATTTTTTCTGGGCTCTCTAGATTATTCCCTCAATTTGTATGTCTGCCTTTATGTCAATACCACACTATTTTGTGTTTTCTTTTTATTATGGTGAAATATTCATAGTATATAATATACAGTTTTAATCACTTTGAAGTATACAGTTCAGTAGCTTTAAAAACATTCATTGTTGTACAACCATCACCACCGTCCCTTGATTCTATTTATAGCTGTATAGTATGCCATTACATGAATATATTTTCATTTACTTACTCATCCTCTGCTAATGGACATTTGGGTTGTTTTCATTCTTTTGCCATTACAATTAATGTTATGACAAGTTTTCTAATAAAGAAGTTATTTTTGCTTGTGTGAGTATATCCATAGGCTAAATTCTAGAAACAGAATTGATAAATCATCGTTTATGCTTTTGTAATTTTATAATTTTTGTAAAATTGATTAAATACCTCCTGTAGAGGTTTTATTAATTTACTCTCAGCATGTTAGCTTTAAAAAAAAAAACTTCCTACCTGATAGGTAAAAAATGTTCTTAGTATTATTGGAATTTTCATTTTGAGGTTGATTGTCCTTTTTGTTTAAGAGCCATTTGATATTCTTTTCTGTAAACTCTGTGTTTATATCTGTGCCCATTTTTCTATTAAGTTGTTTGTTGTGTTCTTACTGATTAAGAGTTCCTTATATTTTAGGGAACTTAGCCGTTTATCTGTAATATAAGTTGCAAGTATCTTTCCAGTTTGTATTACCATAGTTCTAATCCCAAATTCTTCCATAAGCTATTTATGGTCAATGAAATCCCAGACATTTGGAAGTCCTTTCACCCTACCCTAATGTCTGTTAAATTTGAAACAGTGGCAGGACTGGAAGAATCCTTAGAGACCTTAGAAATCCTCTCACATAGTCACTTAATTTTATAGCTAAGACCCAAGGAAATGAAGTGATATTACCCAGGTTACATAGCAGGTAGGCCATGGTGCCAAAACCAGGACTTTTCTCTGGCTTCTATTTTGGAGAAGGTTATTCTAACATATACAGTAAGAAAGTTCTGAACTTATCAATTGAAAGTTGGTTTTGGTAAAAGAATTGGCCCTTTCCCAGTCTGCTCTGTTTCTTTTTTTCTCACTTCCTTTTCCTTCTGCAAATGTCTTGTGAATTCTGAAATTCTGCCTTAAGACCCACTTTTCTAGGGCTGGTTTGGTGCTGAGTTCAAGGCATGTAGATCCAAGGAGAGGCACACAGTGGGAATTCACCAAGCATGGTGCCACCTTCAATGCTTGACTCCGAGGCCCTGAAAAAGCCAGATTAAGGTTGTTCTTGGGTGGTCTGGAGATTTGGGGCAGCCTGTACCTTCCAGGCCACCTTTTCCCTGAAAAGCCCTGGGACTTCAGTTGTTTCTCAGAGATTTTCTGATCCATAAAAATGACCAAAGAAAATGAGAAGAAGAATAATAAAATTATATATGCCTGTTTATCAAATTATGATGCCACTGACTGTAATCCGTGCCACTATTTTATGCATCACTAAGAAAAAATACTGCTTGATTACAATTAATTAATTAAAAGGACTAATGCTTGTTTATAGTATGTAAACTTTTCTCCCATATCTCCCTTATATGTACATAAAAAAGTAAAATAATTTTTGTTTAAATCCCAGATCATAGTATAATCTCTTTAAAGACATTTTAAGTGTCATTTGAAGACATTTTCTGTGATACACATGTAGTACCATCAAATATGTTTATTGCAGCTGAAGTGACAATACCAACAACTTAGACTAATTCTCATTCATTTGGCTGACAATTATAGGATTTCAGAGGCATTAATGTAGGGGAAATGTGCATCCTATGATTAAAGCAATGCTATAGACTTTGACTAATTTCATGGCATTTTTACATACATGACCTCATTTAATCTTCCCAGCAACCTTGAAAGTCAATATATAAAGCCATTTTCTAGATAAGGAAATTGAAGCTTAGAGAGGTTAAGTGACTTGACCAAGATCACTGTTAATAAGTGATGAAACCGGGACTTAAAACTCAGACTTTCCGCTTTATCCAGTTATTTCCCAGCATTTAACCTCACCGACTGGGATCTTTCTGTTGTACAGAGGAGATGACTGAACAGCGCAGGAAGTAAGGGCTGATCTAATTCTCTGCTTCTTCCAATAGAATTGATTAAAGATAATTGCTGGCAGAAACAGGTATGCAGAAAGTGGTTTTCTTAAAAATTGAAAAAGTAAAAATATAAGTTTAATTTGAGGACATTTTCTCCCCCCACTTCCCATTCTCCAAAGGTACCAGAAAGCAGCTGAAGAAGCAAACACGGAAAAGAAGAGAAATGTAAGTATTCAGAAGCCCCGGGGCACTTGGAACTTTCAGAGCAGAGCCCTTGTGGCCCAGTCACCTGCCGCTCTAGGGGCCTGTGCTCCAAGTCAGCTGAGCTAGGCCCGTGTGCCTCCTGGCCTGATTCGTGAGCCATTTGCTCAGCAGAACTGGGCTCTGGTTGCAGGGAATCTTACTTTTCACTGAGGTTCTCCTTTTGAGCCACTTTTTCTTTCCTGAGTTGAGTGAAAGACAGAAGGCAAAGTCTTTTGCCTGAGGTTTATAAAATGGCTTACTCTTTCTGCTCAAATCAGAATACAGGGTTTGGTTTGAAAAAAATCACCTTGCTTATTTCAGATGAAATTTTCTTTCCATGCGCCTCTCCCAAGGTCTTTCCTCTTCCACAATGCCTACCATACAGTTCACATTACATAAATTGTGCACTTTTTGAATGGCTGAATGATAGAATAAATGAAACTCATATATGCAAAAAAAAAAACATTAGCATACAAGTTTCCTAGGCTGTCATCCCTTTTCCCAAATCAAACAACCAGAATCTCTAAATCTCTGCATTTAAATCATTTAAATGGTAGCAGTTGTGCTGCTGTTATCATCCTCTGGGTTCCTTGTTTTGAGCAAACTTCTGGACCCAGTCTAGTTTGCAAGTTTCTTAGCTGCAGGATCCATCAAAGGCTAAAACCTCAAAACAGGCTCCCTGCTCAGACCCAGTCTCTGCTCTTCCCACTGGCTAACTTCCAGCTAGTCTGGGTAGTATATTTCTTTTGAGCTCTTACTTGATTTAATCTTATGAGGGAAAAACCTCACATATTTGGTCATGAATTCTTTAATTTGGCTGGATTACAAAAACATCCTCCTGGCAGTTTTCACTACCCACCCTATTTAAATTGGTACATAACATGCCCCTGTCAATTTGTTCTCTCTAAGTGGGTAATGCTGACCAGGTCTTTGGCTTAATTTTCCTGTGATTTGAAAATGGAGCCCCTCTGCTACACTGTGAGAAAAAGCTACCATCATTTCACTCACTTACGGGTTTCTTTTCTTTCCTCCTCTCTGTCCTGCTCTTTTTCCCTTTCTTTCTTCCTCCCTCTTCCCTTTCACTCATTCATTTAGCAAGTATTTCTAAGGACCTACTATGTGCCACCACTGTTTTTGGCACTAATATGGACTACATTTCTGCCATCATGGGGTTTACATTCTAGTGGGGGAGATGGGCAATAAGGAAACTGTGTCAGATGGTGAATGAAGCTAAAAAAATAACATGAAGCAAGTAATAGGAATAGAGTGTAGCCTGGTCAGGGATAGCCTCTGATGAGGAGACATTCAAACAGAGATCTGAGTACATTCTTAGTGGATTTGAGTAATAGGAAGAACAAGGTCATCTAGGACTGTTGTGAGGACCTGGACTTTAATTGCATGGGGGCCTTTGGAGAGTTTTTATGTAAAGAAGTAGTGTGATCTGACTTAAATTTTAAAAAGAGGAGGAAGAGACCATAGGAACAATGGCAGAAGAATGGAGACCAATTACAAGACAATTGCAATGATTTAGGCAAGAGATGGTAAAGGATTGGACTGGAATAGCACCCATACTGGTGATCAGACATGGTTTATATTGATGGTGGAGAAAGAAAGAAAAGAATCAAGAATGGCAACAGTGATTTGGCCCAAACACCTGGAAAAAAGCCATTAATTGAGAAGACTGTAGTAAAACTAGGTTTAGAGAAAGAGAAATAGTAAAATAGCTCAGTTTTGGACATGTTAAATGTGAGATGCTTAAGAAAACATCCAAGTGGAGATGTCATATAGGAACTTAGATTCCTAAATTTGGAATTGGAAGAGATCAGGACTGAGATAAGATGTGTATGTATCAAAGTATCTGGTATTTAAAGACATGAGATGCATGTGAAATCATCTAGGGAGTGAATATAGATAGAAATGAGAAGAGGTCTGAGGACTGAGCTCCGGGGCATCTTGATATTGAAAGGTCAGAGAGATGAGTAGGAACCAGCTAAAGAGACTGATAGGGAGCAGCTGGTGAAACAAGAGTAGAAGCAAGAGAACAGGGTGCCAGAAGTCAAGTGAAGAAGCGTTTCTATAAGGAAAGCCATCAACAGAGTCAAATACACAGATAAACTGAGAATTGACCACCAGATTTGGCAATGTAAGGTCATTGGTCACTTTGTGACCCAAACAGGGAGTGATGGGATAAAGGTTCAAGATAGTGGGCTAACAGCAGTCTACACCATGAGTGTAGGCAGACATGGAGCATCTCTTAGGTACCAGACACAAGGGGGAATAAGATGTGGTCCCTGCCCTCAAGGGTCTGTTAAGAGTTTGGGAAATAAAATTTATAATTTCACTGTGACAAGTGCCATGTAAAAGAAATACTTGGGAGGTGTGGGGGAGTCAGATAGGGAAAATTATAGCATACATCAAGGCAGTGCATACATTCCTATTTTGATTATGATTTTTCCCCCAATAAGTTTTTTAAATTACTTTAGTAATTGAGAAAAATAATAAGTTAAAAATAAGAGAATGAAATGACAGATTTAAAGAGGCAACTGGTGATCTTAATTGGAGCTACTTCAGAAGTGTTTTGGTAGTAGAATTAGGGTGAGTGAAAAGCGATCAAATAGAAGTAGCAACTACAGATGTGCTTGCAAGACCCTTCAGTGTGAGAATGCAAGAGACAGCAATATCTAGAAGAAAACACAGAAAGTTGAGGGAGGTGTACTTTTTTTTAACCAAACTTTTAATTTTGGGATAATTTTGGATTTACAGTAGTTTACTAAGTTAGTACAGTGAGTTCCCATATACCTCCACCTAGCTTCCCTAATGTTAACACCTTACTATGGTACATTCATCAAAACTAAGAAATTAACAATAGTGCAGTGCTATTACTGTCTCCTGAAGAACAGGGAGAAACATCCATATAAATGTACAGAAGTGACTGACCAGATGGAATAATACCTACCTTTTACCGTGGAAAGCAAGTGAGAGAAACAATCAGGAGCAAGTGGTATATTGGTTCCTCAGCAAATAGTGGGATCAGTTTACATAGCCTAGATTCCCAGAAATGTATTCCTCCATTTCTCTTCCTCTTCCACTTATATCTTATCTAGGACACAGAAACACAGACCATTAATACCACCATCAGTTAGACTTTCAGGTTCCCTTCAAGCATGGAATGTGCCGCTTTGGAAATCTGTGCCATTTGGGTACTCATTTCCATAATGACTGGCCACCGCTTTTCTGAGACGCGCTCAGCCTAGGAATTTCTACCCCATCCTTGGAGGCTGTACATCCAGGCAGTCCATGTTTCCAACCCTACTGCTGTTTCCTACTAAACATCCTCCTGCTTTTAAGATGAAGATTCCCTTGCCAAGATTTCAATGCTAAAGCTAATTCAACCCAACTACTTCATATGATGGGTGAAATAACTGAGACCCAAACAGAGGAAGGGACACATCCAAGATCATACATCTCAGAGTGACAAGGCTGGGATTCATCCCAATTCCAACTTGAATACTCCTGCAGAAAGGACACTTTGTAGCATCTCCAGGGTGTGCCTGATCTGGATTCAGGCAGCCAGTTAGGTCTAGAGGCAAATCTGCCAAGATTCTCTGCCTTGCTAGGTAGAATGAACAGCATGCTAGATGTCACTTTGAGAAAGGAAGTTGTGGTAGTGTAGCAACCAACAGGCCCTTGAAAACTTGTAGCCCCCTTGACTTCCCACTACCTTATTCTAGGAAAATACTTGGGAAAAAGTTAAAACCTTGATACAAATGACATCAACTAGAATTTCACCTTATTTTGTGCCCGCCTCCCCACTCTGGAACAGTAGAAACTATAGAGAGAGTAGAAAGAACAGTAAAAGACCATAACCCAAGTTCAGGATTTGGTAGATGACTGAGTACTGTGGTTGATCACCATTGTGAGGTGTGGCTGGAGAAGTAGGGTGAACCACCCATTTAATAATAATTGTCACCACCTAGTGGGTGCCTATTATGTCAAATAATATACTACATGCTATAATATCTAGCCCTGTTTCAGAAGTTAAACTTGCCCGTGGTCACTTGGCTGGATGGAACTGGATTATATAAGTAATATATGTTCATTATAGAAAATACAGGTAAAGAGAAGAAAATATAAGTGGCCCCAAATCCACTGATAACCCAGGCTATCTCAGTCAAATATTCTTCATTGTGCTGCCCAAATGGCTTTTAGGTATCACTTTTGCTCTGTACCTTCTTCTCTGTGTTTCCCAGACTGTAGCCCCTCCTCCCCATCTTTGCTCACCCTGGGGCCTAAAGACCTGGACAACTTGCATGGCCTAGATCATGCACCAGGAGTGATTTGAGGGTATGGGACCTTTAATGCTATCAGGCCACATGGCCCTACCCTTCCCCTTTTTGTCTCCACTCCAGCACTTCTGAACTTCATCCTTAAGAGCTCCTTTTAATAAAAGAGCTCATTTACTCCACATTAAAATACCCTCTAAGGGATGTCCTCCACCCAGGCTCTTGTTTTGGACACTGCTGATATTCTCTTACACAAATCCCTCTTCCTGGCCATCACAAGTCAAGTAGAAATGACAATTTTCAAGCTGCTTACTACTGTAACATAAAATTTGTTTAATACTTTGTAGAAGCTTTTTTGTGATATGAAGATGATGTATAATTTTATCTTTACATTCATTTTTATTACACAATGAATACACATTCATTGTGAAGAGAAAAAAGAAAATGCAAATGGCCATTATCCGTGATCCAAAGGTACCCTTTTAACATCTGATGTCTTTTCTTCCAGACTACTTTTCTATGCTTATATTTATAAACATATATGTGTATTATAAAATGGGATCATGCTGTCTTATAATTTGCTTTTTGCCACTCAAAAGTACCTTATGAGCATTTTTCCATGTCAATGATATACTTGGACCACATGATTACCGAGGAAAGTTGTCTCCAGTTACCAAGGCAAAATGCCACTGAGATTCTCAGGGCTCCTTTCTGGGCAGGGCAGATGAAGTCGGGACCCAGGTGACTCATCCATTGTGTGGCAGAAGGTAGCACAGAGCCCAGAGTGCTGCGTCAGTTAAGGTAGCACCAGTGACTGGAGCTGTTTCCTTAATTCACTCTTTTCCAACAAGAAAATTTTTCATGCTTCTTATAGCTCTGATCCATACATGCTTCCCTCAATGACTCATCTTGTCAGTAGAGATTTAAAGACTGAAATCAAGCAGTTGTTCTGTAACTTTTTTTTTCAAGCATTGGTACTATGTGATATGGCTCTGAGAGTGTACTCAGTAGAGTAATAGGGTGAGAGACTTAATTCCCAGTATAGCTGCTAATCCTGTTTAATTCCCCGAAGATTTTCAGTTCTACCTGGTTTGTCCTTTCTTAGTTGAAAGACGTGAGTCACAGACCTTAGGATCGGAAAGCATACAGGTATTGGAGTTTGGAGTTTGTTGGGAGGTGCTACTTAGTTTATTTATAGGAATACTTTCAAAGTTTGGGACTTTGAATTTTACTTCATTAAGCATATTTCCTCTGTTACTGTGGAACAACAGTGACAGTTTCCAGATTGTGTTCAGTCTGTCTTGTATGTATAAATTAATTCCATTTGACTCAGGTGAAAGGGACCTCCCCTAGATGTGTCAAGTCTGTCCTTCAGTCAAAAGAGGGGGTGATAGTGTTTTCATATGAAGCCTGGATATTTTTCAACCACGGGATCTGTGAAATTGTGAATTTCTGGTAACTGAGAATTTATACATGCATAAATATGTAGAGAAGAGCAGGAAGAAAAGAAGATTCGGTTCTTCTGTCAAAATAAAATTTGTATGCATGTAAATTAAGACAGATATAATGAAAAATCATTTATGCAAATACATGTAAAGTCTGGTGAGTTCTTTAAATTTCTACAAATAGTTTCAACCCTTGATGCTACTGCCCTCCATTACTGGCATTGGGTAGTTTTAGCTATACTGCATTTTGTCTACTGAAAAGAAAAAACATCAGGATTCACCATGTAATTTTGCAGCATGTAGTGACAAACTTTTACTGATACATATTTACAGTGTTTAAAGTAACTGGTATTTTGTTTCTTCTTTCTTGTTTTGCCATGAATCTTTGGATAAAAATCCCTTGTCTCTATCATTAGATCTGGGCTTTCCTTGCTTCTCATTTTGTCCTTATAAGGCTATCCTGTTTTATCACTTCCTGCTCCAGCTCCTGACTTTTTCTCTCTTCCCCTCTCCCTTTCCCTCTCCTTGGGTGGATGCTTTCTCCATGTGGCAGTAGCTGTAACTGTTCACAGCTGTCCCAAACGCCAGTGGACCAGGAGCAGCTTAGAATTTTAACTTTCATTTTACAAAGAACAGCATGTTTGAATGTTTCAGCAGGCAAGTTATAACTGGCACTTACTTCTTGTTCTTCTAGAACACTGAAAGCCTCCCGCAGCCCTTTAGAAGGGGGATCCTGACTGTGTTGAAGAAGAAGTGGGAGAACCCAGGGCTGGAAGCAGAGTCTCACACAGACCCCCTGTGGAACAGCAGCGCTGAGGTCAGGCACGGAGGCAACCATCCTCCCGCTGAAGTGGCAAGCAGCTCTGCCTCTGGGACCGAAGCTGACCAAGGGGAACGGGTCCGTGCCAGACCTAGACTTGGATCACCTTCTGAAGCCCTTTTTCAGTGTCAGTATCCACGCATCGAAGACAGTGCGCATCTTAAAGACGCCCCCACAGAAAGTAAAAAAATGGAAAATTGTCTAGGTGAATCCAGGCATGAAATAGGAAAACCGGAAATCAGTGAAAACACAGAAGCTGCAAACAAAATAGAAAAATACAATGTTCCGCTGAACAGGCTTAAGATGATGTTTGAGAAAGGTGAACCAACTCAGACCAAGGTAAGAATTGGGCTGGTTTAAAACTTGGGAAAGCCAATTCAACTGCATAAAGCTGTATTTCCAAACTAAATAGTTTGGTAGCGGCGAGTATGTGGTCAGTGTGTCTTTTGATTTAAGTTAAGTGAGTTCATTAAAATCTCAAATTATTTCCGTAGATGCTAAGATTTGTGAGTCTATGACCCAGTTCATCTGAAATCCAGCATACACGGGGATTCAAGTTGGTGTCTGGAAATGAAGAGTTTGATGCCGATTGTATTATGTGTTTTTAGTATGCTTGCCCTTTTAATTTGTCTTCCTGTGCCTTTTGTCATTTGTAGCTTTGGCGGGTGGAATTACGGCTGAATCTCTCTGCTTGGACACAGCTGCAGGCTGAGTGTTAAGGCCAGAGTTTAACATTAAGACTGAGGCTTGGTTGTCTCTTTGCTAGCTGCGTCCCATCTTCTCAACTTCCTCATTTGTACCTTCCAACAAATGTTTTCTATCAACTAAAATTCTCTCCCAGGAAAAAGTCAATGAAGATAGCCAGACTAGCTGTAGCCTTCAGGAGTTTTGACTTGCAAATGTACAGGGTTGCAGTTTCCTACAACTGCTAATGAAATTTGATCCTTCGTGTGGATTGCAGACCAGGTCCCCAGAGGGAATTACTTAACTAGAAAATGAGTTACATATGCTGGTGACTTATAACACAATCCAGGGGCAGCAGAACTGGTAAATTTTTCCAGTTTTCTCATACTTCCCTGCATATCTGGCTTTGTACATGTGGATGGTTTGTTACAGCAGTCATTATAATGAAATAAACAGATCTGAAGGAAAGCAAAGCCATCATTTACTCTTGATTCCATTTAGATGGGAAAGCTGAATTTTTTAAGCTAAATATTTGGCCCAAAGCTCTCCATTTGTGAAGCAATGATATGAAGGATTCTTTCTCAGATAAAAATTAGATAAATTCATCCTAAGATCCTCAGTTGTGTTTGGTGAGACCTAGTCACTCTCTCTGTAACTTGGAGTACCCAGGTAATTTTTCTGCCTAGGAAAATTCTTGAGTGTTTTGGGATCATCTGAGGATGTAGAAAGAATTTTTAAAGGTGTGCAAACCTAGAACCCTTTTCTGTGCATGAATTTTAGCTCTGTTTTAACACTGAAACCAGTTGGCAAGAGATGTGACCACAAAGCATTTTTATGACTTTCTTTTAAACTCTCATCCCTCAATTTTTAGTCCTCTAGGCCTGCCAACTCCCACTTTCCCCTTTATAGTCTTAATAAAACAAATTCTCTTTATTTAAATGGGAAGAAGAATTTTAAATGGAAAGAAAAAATGTCAGAAATCCTAAATAGAGAGGAAGGGTCTTTGTTGGGATTCAAAGCACCATTGTATGTCCCCTCCTCACGGCCCCTGTTAGGGGCAGGACGGCTGATGTCATGCCAGCACACACAATGTTAGATTCAGTGCAGAAGGCTGGTGCATGTTGAAACTGGCCTAAGGTAGGAAATGACGGGGCTGCAGCAGACAAAAATGCTGATTATGTGTAAGGATCGGGTGAGAGACTTTTTTCTCATAAATGTCTGGTGAGAGATGGGTCAGAACAAGCCTATCCCTTTGTGGCTGGGCAGAGTGGAGAAAAATTCATATAAAGAAGGATCCTATGAGAGACCTGATGGCACCCGGCCACCCGATTGCTAACAGTATAGGATATGGTGGGATCGGGGGATGGGGGGCATTTCTAAGATTGACCCTCGTGCCCCTCTAAACTTGCTGATTCAATAGTCATTGTCACTTAATGGACTGCTTAGAAAGTGCAAAACACACCCGCCCTTAATTTTTATAGCTGTTTCTAAATAAGCCTCATTATCCATGTTGGAGGCAGCCTAGATTGCTTTAAATTAAAGTTTTGTCTAGCATTTCAACAGAACTGTTTTTAAAAAGCTGTGTCTGTTTTAGCTTTAGGAATAGCTAGTCTGAAACTGGGTTATGGTTATTGTTAACATAATTTAAACTTTAACATGGATGAGGTTTTTAATCAGGAAGTTGCATGATTGGATCTTTGAATGGAAGCCCTGAGAAATATGACAGGGATGATGCTAGAATCCTTTAGGAGCAAGAGTACACGAGTAAGAACGTACTTCAGAGCTACCAAATGAGTACTTCAGTAAGACACACTAATATTAGGTACCAATTGTCTGAAACTTTGGTTCCATAATTGAATTTAGAGAACTGGATTAAATCTAAACTAGCTGAGCAGGGTCAGGAAGCACATAGATAATGGAAATATGTGGTCTAATGTCATACTCTCTTATATCTTACTATCAGAGTTATTCAGAGGAGCCAAAGTTGACTGGCTTGAGGTCCACTTTTCTTAGTTTCTCTTGCTCCCTTTGTCTGAGATGATTTCTGTTCTTGACCATTTCTCGTCCAGATCTCTTCTCTCCCCTCCTGTCTTTTTCTCTCTCCCTGTGTAATCTCATCTCTTTTCATGACTCTCTGAGATGAATCACCAATTCTAATCTTGAACTCTTAACCCAAGTTTCAGCCCTATATTTCTGGTTGCCTACCAGGTCAGACATCTCTCTGTGAATATGGTTTAGGCACTCAAATTCAAGAAAGCTGAAAAAGAATCCATTATCTTTCCAACCAAAACCTGCTTTACCCCTGGAACCCTTAAATGGATCACCAAATCTCCTGGTCTATGAAGCTTGGAATCGGTTCTTCCTTTGGCCCCTATCTTCCCTCCCACTCAGTCACTTATTAAGCCACCTGAATAAGTCTGTCCTCTACACATTTCTCAAGTATGGGCCATTCCATCTGGTCCCAAAGTAGTTGTACAACCTGCCCCACTGGCCTCTCATTTTTCGTTGTTCCCATCCATCCTCTACACTGTTGCTATTTATTTTTCTAAATATAATTATAAATTATGTTAATACATTGATTAGAAATTTTTGATTCCTCAAAACTAATCCATATTTAATATTTGGGTCTTCCACAGTCTGAGCCCAATCTACCTTTCCAGTTTCATACCAGTCTTAGACTCAAACGCAGGATTACTACTCATTCTCCAAATTATTCATGCTTGTCCCCCAGTTGCTACCTTTTGAAGGTCCATCAAGAGCTGTGAGGCCTTACCTCAGTTTCTCCCAGATGACTTAACCTTTCTCACCTGTAGAATTTTCGTTTTGCTTCTCTTTGGGCACTTTACATCATACTTCCTTTAATAGTCATGTTTAAATTTCTATACTCCCCAGTCTACAATCTCTTTCAAAGTAATAATGTTTTTCTTCCTCAGTGGTTAGCGCAATGACTTGGCTCTTAGTGTTTATTCAGTAAAAGGAAGAAAAGACACTTTGAAGCCAAATACCTGACAAATAGTGAGAATTGATTAAAGGCTATTCCTCACATATCTTCTACCTTTGGTGAGTTGATAGGTTATTCAGGTCAGATGATTTAGTTGAACATGATGGTCTAATTCCTATGAGTGAATGAATAGTGGGTGGATTAATGTAGTTTATCATCACCGGGAAAAAGAACCCACCCCCACCAACCAGTGACATACAGAATGTGATTTAGCATCTCGAACTTCACATGTATGTTGATCTGGGTTTTAAGTAACTATTCTTGACATCCTTTTCTGAAAAAGCTGATCGACTAGTATAAGCAAGTTTCAATTATCATCATGTTGACATTTGAATCTCTAATCTTTACAAGTCAGAATGTAGTTATACAAAAAATTAAGTGCATCTTCTTCCATGCCTAGGAATGACCAAGCAATGTAGGGAGCATATGACAGGCTCCTTCATCTCAGTTCTTTCTATTTGGTTCCTAACATTCTTTGTTCTAAATTCTTGGATAGGAGAATAAAGACCAAGTATTTGGGTGGTATATTTCTACCTTCACAACCTATTTAAAGTATTGTCTTGCTTGGGTCAAGATGGAACCAGTTAGATGTAATGTAAGAAAATAAGACTGGAATATGGAAATAAATCCCTTGATTTTTTTTCCACAATGCTCACTATTGCTTTTTCCATATAGTGTTTATAAAAGAAGAAAGGAGAGAAGAGAGAATGCTTCCTCACCAAAAATCCCTATTTCCTAAAACACATAAACTCGCACACTCTTCGGGGCTAACCAAGAATAGGAGATAGTAATGAGAAGGTAAAGATAAGTTTGTCCATCAGTAAATAGAATTGAAACTACTTAGAAAAAAAATTTTTTTCCTTTTCTTTTTTCCCCCATTATTCATAGTATATTGTCATGCTTCCAGTTAGTCATATTTTAATTGTGTTAACTCATTTTATGTTACAACCAGTAAATTCAGCTAAAATAGAAGTATCTAAAATAAAAATGGAAGTTTCCTTTGTCCCATCTTCCTTTTCACTAGTTTGCTACTTTTTTCCCCTTAGATTCCTAAACCCTTGAACTTCCCTTAGAACTTCTGTTCCTCTTATCACCAGGATCAGTATATGAATGGCTGGCATCACAAATGCATTATATGAATACAGCCAACAAAAGCTGCATTTGTTAATAGGAAAGTAAAACTATCCTTCTTCAAACAGTCCTGTATTTTTGTGGCTTTTCTTCTGAGTTCTTGAGTGACACTTGATGTTTTGTTTAGCTTTATATAACACTAGTACAGAACAGTGTGTATGTGTTGGTGTAGTGTAGCAAACCCTTGAGAAAATAAGTCAACCAAGCTGAAGTCTGATCTGTGTTCAGCAGATATTTTATCCACAGCCAACCAATCTACAATCTACATCAAAGAAACAATTAAATTTACCTTCTTGAAGAATGGGTAGGTGTCCATAGGGAACCTGTATATTGTTATAAAATTATCCATAGCATTTTATTTTCTCCTCTCTTGGTTAATAATTGCATGTGTTCCCTTATCTGTTTAATGATATCTTAGTAAGATTTTTCTTCTCTTTCTTAATGTCTTAAGTAAGTTATTGGGAATTACATTCCAAGAAGAATACAGTTCTGAGGATGTACATAATTGGTATTAATTGCATGT